AGATTCACAAATTGCTTGTCCCACACATATGCATACCTACACACATGACACAGTCTATACATATAATATATAATGAAATGCTAATCTTGGTGTTATGAATGAAAGGAGGTGAAGCTCAGAGGAAGACAGATTATTATGCATTAGGACCAACCATGTGGGCATTCTTGAATTTTGGACAGGCCAGGTTGGCAGGAAGTAGATTTCTGTTTTAGTATAAAGGGAAGCATGTTGGGTGCTGGTAGCAGTGCGTGGGGGTGGGGTAGTGGAATGTTCTACTATAAAAAGAGAAATTTTCCCTGTAGTAAAGAGAATGTAAGACAGACAGGGTACAGCAATATTTTGGGAAGACTTGAAAGAGAGGCTTCTTCAACTACAAGTAGCAATGCTCACTTAATATTCCTTGTCTCTTCCTAGGCTCATAATGACAATAAGATAGCAAGATCAGCAGGACAGTTCCCTTACAATTTCACATTCATAGAATCAGTTTAACTTTAAAGAAGCCTCAGATATTGTGCATCTCAAATAGGCAGCCCCTGTCAGAGTCCTCTGTGGTCTGCTTGGGGCCTCTAGAGCGGAGCACTCCCTGCCTTCCTGCTTCCTTTGAGGAACACCCCTTAATACCAGGAAGTTGTTGACCCTTCTTCACTGAGCCAAAATCTGCCTCTTTGCTACTTTGTGGGCTGGTTTTTGCCATCTTTTGGAACAAATCCTTCTCTTATTCATGAGGGCAATTGTTCAAACCTCTGAAGACAGTTCTATTCATATCTTTCTCCATCATCTTCCTTCATACTTCCATTCTCACTGTAGGATGGGTAGCGCATGTTTGCATGTGTTTTTTCTCTCATTCACTCATTCATGTATGCAAGGGGCACTTACTGAGTGCCTCCTCTGTGGCAGGCGTGGTGTAGCCTTTGAGTAAGCTATGTTGGTAAAAATTCTCGTACTCCTGAAATTTACATTCTAGTGATAGAAGTTAGGAAAATAATGAGTAAATGAATAAATGAATATAAAATAATGAAAAATACTTTAGAACAAAGTAAAATAGGAAAGAGAGAGAGAGTTGTATAGAATGGAATATAATTTTAAATAGAATGGCCACAGAAAACCTCACTGTGATGGTTTGCAAAGACAGAAGAGGAAAAACTCCAAAGCGGGTGAGAGGGTGGGTCATGCAGACATCTGAGAGAAGGAAGCAGGACAAACTGCAAGTGTGCAGATTTGGGGAAAAGGTTGTGGCTGGCTTGCTTAAAAAAAAAAGAGAGGCCACAGTGACAGAGCAAAGCAAGACGAGAAGGTGGGAAGAGTAGTAGATGGTAGGCAGCCCCAGGGAGTCACACTGTAAAAAGACTTGTAGGCTCTTGCTAGGGACTTGACTCAACCCTGAGTGAGATGAAAAGACATTGAAGACTGAAGCTTCATAGGCAGAAGAGTGCTGTGTGGTGACCCAGTCCCACTGTATGGGACTTGCCTGAAGAGAGAGCAGCCTACAATTCCAGCTAATCATATTAGAGCTGAAAGCGGCTTGGACCAGGTGGGTAGGGGTAGAGGTGGTAGGAAGTGATGTACTCCCCATGGAGAGCCCACAGGATTTGGTGATGGATTGGATATAGGATTTAAAAGAAATATGGGAGGCCGGGAAGATAGCTCAGTAGAATAAGCGCTTGCCTGGCAAGTACAAGGGTCTGAGTTCAATCCCCAGTTCCGTGAAAGAGAGAGAGAGAGAGAGAGAGAGAGAGAGAGAGAGAGAGAGAAGAAATGTGAATTGAAAACAATTGTCTGAGCAACTGAAAACATGAAATGATCATAACCCAAGATAATGGGATGGTTGTGGGAAGAGTAGCTATGTGGGAGAAGAGTCACAAGTTCAGTTCTGAACCTAGAAGTTTGAGATGGTTTCTCTTCTGCCTCCGGATCTTCAGCACTCTTACCTGTATCATATCAAGTTCTTCCTAGAAAAGCTCTTCCTGAGACAAAACTGTCAGTTATAGCAATAACTTCCCACTCTAGCATTCACACCCAAAGCCAAACAGTTGCTGGTACCTGTGGTCCTCTGCAGAGCTTCCCCGACGTTGCTTTCTCCGTGTGGGGCATGGTCTCTGGAATGGTACCCCTGCCACTTGAGACTTCAGATTTCAGCATTGACTGGGGCATAAAAAAGACATTTTTTTCCAACACTAGAGTATAGAGTTTTTTTAACCATATATATATATATATATTTTTATCCATATATATATATATGAGCACTGATGTTTTATTTGCTTATGTTTAGCTTTTCATTACCAACTTAACATCCAAAAAACTGAGATATGTGAAGCCCAGCTTAGGAGACCATGATTCTGATTCAAATTATTGTGTTTTCTCTTTTTTTAATGAACAGAATATATTTCTTGAGGGAAAGAAATCTCCTGTCCAAGAGAGGGACAGGAGGGTGGCCTGAGCGGGATGTCCCCTATTGTGTTTTCTTCTGGTAGTTTGAACTTGCCCTTCTCACTACAATCTTAACATGTTTTAGAGAACTTGTGACCTAAGGAGATTGCAACTCCTGGCTGTGGAACTTGTGTAGCCTTATACAACCTAAACTCTCTGAACCTTAATTGATTACTTCATCTGTAAAAATAGGGAAAGGATACCTCAGGCTTAATATGAGGATGTAACAAGATAATGTAAAAGCACCAGAATATAGCGGTGGTTTCTATTCTGCTTCCGGACCTTCAGTGCTCTTGCCTGTATCATATCAAGTTCTAACACCAGTTCTAACACATACTGGGAGCGCAACTTAATTTATTCAGTACACATGTAGGTATAGAAATTTAATTTAAAATACTCTGAAATATTTATCCCTTTTTTTTAAATGTACTTGCTATAGGGTCTCATTACACAGCTCAGACTCATAGTGATCCTCCTGTTTTCAGCCTCTCCAGTGCTCCACCACACCCCCAGTCTTAGCGGCCTGCTCAGCGTGCCTGGGGCAGGGAGGTGTGGCATGTGATGTGGGGAATCGAACCACAGTCCCTGCGCTTGTCTAAGCAGGCCTTTAGTCTGCTGAGCCATCTTGCTAGCCCTAGTTATTTATTCTTTGTGAAAAGAAAATGTCCTTTGTGAAAAGAAATGTATCCTCTGCTAGTTTACTTTGGCCTGCAGAGTTTACATTGGGTTCCCAAATTGGGAAATCTGTAAAATGGGTTAATATTGCAGTAAAAGTCCAACTATGTAAAGCTTTTACTCACTACATTTGTAATGTGATGAAATAAAACATTTCTATCACAGTTATGCAAAATCAGGTACAAATTTAATGGCGCATTCACTGCCTCCAGCAAATTAGCATGAAATTTAATTTGTGTTAATTTACTCAAAAGTTAGGTTACAAGAAGTGTATTGTTGTTAGAATATGATTTGGTGAGAAAGAAACCAGTATTTGATAAGAAGATGTTTCTATGCGTAGAGATAGAGTCTCGTCATCCATCTGCTCCCTTCAGGCAAGCAAAATTCCGTAGGAGAGCCCTAGAAATCGGGTCATCAGTAGGCTCGCGGTGGGTGGGTGGTGCAGGGCTCTGCGAAGTCAGGACCTTTGGGATACAGCAAGCTCAGGGGGTCTCTGTGTTGGATGGGCAGTGGAAAGAAGGACAGCATTCAAGCCAGGGGACAGGATAGATTCACATTCTCTCTTGTATTGAGTGCAAGGCCCTGAGGCAAAACCTTATATTCTTCATCTGAAAAAGTAGGAATCATAATAATAATATGTATCTCTATTCCACTTACATAGAATACAAATGTGTGCAGAACCTCATCCAGTTCACATGGCAGCTCCTAGTTATTATCACACTGCAGCGCATGCATAGAGTTGCTATCTAAAAGTCTTTCCCCTCTGTTTCATTCTATTTTTTTGAATCTATACAGGCAGCAGCCTCAGATTCCAATCACCACAGGAACAGGTGTTGTGTATCCCGGTGCTATTACTATGGCAACTACCACCCCGTCACCTCAGATGACATCTGACTGCTCTAGCACCTCTGCCAGCCCAGAGCCCAGCCTGCCGGTCATCCAGAGCACTTACGGAATGAAGACAGACAGCGGAAGCCTAGCCGGAAACGAGATGATGAACGGAGAGGATGAGATGGAGATGTATGAGGACTACGAGGAGGACCCCAAATCGGACTATAGCAGTGAAAACGAAGCCCCGGAGGCTGTCAGTGCCAACTGAGGAGTTCCGTTTGCTGAATGAAAATACTCTGACATTTCATCCCCCTCCCCAACAAAAGTTCTTAAAGAGCCCGCATGCATTTGTGGCTCCACAATAACATCAGCAGAATGGTCTTAATTGTTTCGTAAAGTGTGAGACAGATTAAGTTTTCCCTGATTTTTCATGAACTTGAGTTTTTTGTCGTTATTGTTATTGTTGTTGTTGTTTTTTAATTTAGGTGAAGACATATTAAATATGAGACACCAGGACTTGAAAACTTATCTCAACCCATAGCTGTCTTACAAGTCTTATATTTTTGTCTTACTTTTTTTTTTTTTTTTCTTTTGGATGTTGATAAAGGTTTAAGTTACTGTTTTAGATGGGGTTAAACATTCTCACTCAGGTATGCTGTGCCGGCCTACAGGTTGTGAATGTGTTTTTATTCTGAATTACTTTAGAAAACAACTGAGGAATTCGTGTTGTGAAGCAGGACAAGTCCATGGCGTGTGCAGCTGCATGTAGAACATATTAAAAAGGCCTCGGAATTCCATTTTTTTCTTTCCACATGTAGAGTTAAACTTTGAATGTGCCAAACTTTTTCGTAACTTTTGAATCTTAATATTTTGAAAGTCTTAAAGGAGACACTGCAAAGTCTTAGACAATCTTGGCATCTTAAAATAAAATAGCAAACCACACTTTTTTTTTTCCAGAACATGGTAAAGTACTCAGGAATCTGGAGACAAGATATTGTAAGGAACGAACCAGGTTGCCACAGTGCATGTCCCAGTTGTGTTTGCCTCTTGACGTGCCATCAGTGTGTGGCGTGTATGACACACACACACACACACCAGAGCCATCCCCTCACCAGACCCCCACGTGCGGTCTTCTCCGCCCAGACCGCCTCTCACTACATCCACGATCCCTTTGCCTTTCACCCTGACATTCAGTCTTAATGCATTTTTCTCTTAAGTAATTTATTCATTCCAGAATGTCAAGGGTCCACTTAATATTTATTTAAAAACAAATTGTTGGTGGCATTAATTTAAAGATTCTTGTTTTCACCCCACTTCCCGAAAGAACTTTTTGTCCCTTGTCACTTCCTTCTCTGGCTAGACACAAAAGATGTACATAGTGATTTTATGTCCCCAGAGCATCTGGATGCATTTCTGAAATGAGATACTATTAAATACCTGTATTATTGCTTACTTCAAAATGAATATCTATCTATCTGGCTGCAGGGCTATGCACTTAGGTCTACAGGTATGCTCTGAGGTTCACTGTGCCCTCAAATCTTTTGCCAGAATTTTCCCCCCTAATTCAGTTTGATTGTATCAGTGGCATTTCCCCTGAGTTCCAATCAGTAGCAAAGGTCAGCAGTGGTTGACTGATGGGCAGGACAGTTCTGTAGCCAAGAATGAAGCCCAGAGCTTGTGGGACATGTAGGAGTCTACAGGGAAGCTATCACGGGCTGGCACCTTGACACCGTGCAGCCTTGACCCAACTTGCAGGTCCTGGGAATTCTTTGCCAAATCCTGGTAAGTAAGAAGGCACGCGAGAGCCTCAAAGCAAAGATGGAGATGAACAGTGAGAATACATCCAGAGAATGAAAGAAAACCATAGGGAAGGAGAAGGGGGGAAGTACATTCCCTATGGGGCACGTTCCTACTGTTAACTCTGGATGACAGATAGTGCCTGGGGCAGCATACCAGCTCCTCTGACTGCCTCCCTGTCTCTGTGGCTTCATGGGGGACAAGCCTACACATAACCAAGACAAATAGCACTTGGGACCCAAGGAGCATTCTGGAGACCTGCAGCTGGGGTGGGAGGCAGTGAGGTTCCATCCCCCATCTCCAATCTACAGAAAACTCTAGGCCGCCATTGGGATCTTCTTGACCCCAGGACTGGTTGTCCAGGGACACCTCACTTGCCCAGAGTGGTTTGGTGGAGAGCACCAGTTCACAGGACAGTTCACCTCATGGGACAACCCAGAATCTCATCACCAGGACATAGGAACAGCCCCATCAGATTTCTTGAGCCATTTTGTCACTTGGAAGAAAATTGTATACCTTCATATTTATTTAAAGAGTGCTCCAGGCCATACCTAATAGCAATAAATAGGTTTAGCCAAAATGTCACTAGCTGTGTCATTAGCTGGGAGTGCTCTTTATAAGCTGTTTAAGGTACTGATAGGAATGTTTTATTCTTAATATTGATTGGGGATTGGAACTTTGTTCTTGTACATTTATTTCAAATGAGGACGAGGTTTTTTTTTTTCTAAAAAAAATGAGTATTTATTGTGTCTTACCGATTTCTTTGATTATATACCTCTCCTCAGTTCAGTCTCATGTTTTTTCTCTTTCCCTTTGGCTTTGCTCTCTTGCTCCTTTTTACTGTGTTGCCTAGGTAGAGTGTTGTATGGCTAGCATTGTATTGTATGTAATTAATTTTGCACAAAGGCGAACATTTAGCATAGTAGGTTAATTTTGTTTGTTTTTATGACCATGCCAAAATAATATTCTGGGCTGTCGGAGAACAAAGGACTGTTCTTTAGGACTGAAACTTGATTTTGCTTGTAGTAAGAAAAAGAAAAAAAAAAACACACACACTCACAGATGTTGTTTCGTAAGTGTTATAAGCACTGGATATAAATGGTATTTTTTATCACTTCTGACTAATGTGAAACTGTTGTACGAAAACTACACGAACAAAAGTCATCTGTTTCGACTCGTGTGGGCTTGCCTCACAGTTGCCGGATTTGAGTCATTTTTATGTCTTGTTATTTCATTTATTTATGCAAAATACATGTGTGTATGAATACTTTGTTTTAGCTCCAGCTCTGCCTCAGTACTGGGGTTCAATAACTTGTAGCCATGTTCTTAAAAATGAAAGGCTATTCAGGAACGATCTGATTGTAAACACCTCTCTCATTGGCTCAGATAGTAATGCTGTATTTGAATCTAAATTTTGTGCATATGCAGTGTATTTTATTTATTAGCCAAGATGGCTCTAAATATCCATGGAAATTAAGAATGACAATCATAGGGATCACTTCATTTTGTTTTCAGTGGGGCTTAAACAAAGTTTTTATGACTTTACCATCTCATGTTAGATTTTTCTAATTGTGTAAATATAACATAGAAATAGAATTTATTTTTGGTTCACAAATACTTAGTAAGATATAAGTTATGTATTTCCTTTTTGTTTTCTATTCATTTGTGTTGGTCCGAACTAAAAATTGACAAGTCACTGCACTTGCTGGGGACAGCGAGCCGTCAGCCACCATGAAGGCAGCATTTGTCCTGCAAAACCTTTTCTTTGGACTCTCATGCAGCATAGAACCCGTTGCCCACAGACTTGGATTTTTCCCTTTTTCTCTTCTAGAAAACTAATGAATTGAACATAGTAAATTTCCAGTACAGGCAAGACAGTTTGCTTTGAGAATTCACATAAATCTTCTGAGATCGTTCTGTGACCCTTTAATAGCAAGAAGCATGAATGCCGTTTTATAGGCAGACATCTGCCTCTGAGGTTGGCCATTAATAAAAATCCCACCATGCCAGTTACAATGAAAACACTAACCTTTCTTCAGTGCTCCCTATTTCATAGTATCTTTAAATTAGAGATTAAAAACTATCTTCATTCAAGAATTTACAAGATCAGGGTTTTCTTTGTCACTTGGAATAGGGACACTGGTAGACAATCTTCTCCTTAAAAGAAAAAAGAAATGGACTGTATGGAATAGGAAAGAAGGAGAAAAGGGGAAGAGGAAGAGGAAGGAAATGCTCCTCTGTGGGCACTGGTGCCAGGGCCAGCCATGTCTCTACTTCACTGGCAGATTCCAGCAGTGTCCTTTGTTGTTTTCCTGAGTACCAGCTCAGCCCTTCAGGAGCACATCAAATTGCTTCATTTGGTATCCGATGCCCTCCAGCCTTGACTGCAGGCCTGACTTTATTTTTCAGGGTCCTAACACCAACTCACAGGCCAAGTTCTAAATTAAGGTATAGGCTCACAATACTAGGGAACGTGTCCAATTCTGACCTCCCCAGGACAAGAGTACCGCAGGACCCTGAGGTGTTCGGAAAGGATCTGATCATTCTAGGACTGACACAGAAGGCTGTTTTCTTTACATGTGAAGCCAGGCTTTCTCGAAGCTTGCCTGTCCTGAGCCACAAGCCCAGGCATGAGCTGAAAGCAGGGACCGTGTCAGGGAAGCCCATCTCCCTCAGGAAGAAGGCAGCCTGGGGTCATCTGAACAACATAGCTGAAGCTGCTGCTCTCCATGTACTCGTTTTGCAAAGAACTGACCTCTACCAACTTGCTAGGGAAAGGCTAAAGAATCACTTCATAGTTTCAAACCATGAGAGGAGTCCTGTACCAAGTGCCAACAACTGCAAAGAAATGCAGCTAGAAGAATGTATTGAAATTATTACTGGGTCTTCCATTTTAACGAGAAAGTGACACACACACACACAAAAAAAAGGTTGCTGTAGCCTTGACTGATGTGCACATTTGTCCAAGGATTGAGTTGGCACTTAAGCTTGCTTCTCGAAGTATAATAATATTCTATGACCTCATTTGTCCTTTGACAAAGCACTTGCACCATTTCCTTGCGTCCTGCCCTTGACCTGTTTTATTCCTCAATAAACAACTTCTGTCTGTTATTCCTGCCGACCACGTTCTGTTTCTGCTGCCATACACTACCCAGCATGTCCCTGTGCTAGAATCATTGAAAATCTTGATATACAAACACATTTCCTTTTCATCCTTGGCCCATCTCTTTCTTTGGGGATAGATGGCTTTCTAAAAGCTCCTGAACAAGAATGTGGAATGCTGGCACCACCACCAGGGGAGAGGTAGAGGAGGGTGGGGAAGGAGGGAGGTAGCGTTCCCTGCGGATACTCTGCTACCTTGAGTTCTTGGCACTAGGGATGCTTTAAGGCAACTCAGTGGTGTATCTTGCTCAGCAGTTTCTCATTCCTGAAGAACCACAGCAGAAAGTGAGGCCTCAGTGCTGGTGCTCTTAGAGTGTGGGAAATGTGCAAATATTTAACTGTTGTGTATGCTGCACATTGCAGGTCTGCTCGCGTGCATTCTCCGTTTGTCTCCCTCTATCATATGTGTTTTTGCTTTTCTGAAAGTGCAGTCTATTGTGCCCTTCTCCAGCTTGTAGCAGACTAGAATGCTTAGCATTTATGTTCATTCATTATTGTATTTGCCATGTAAAATTTTTATTATCCTAGATGAGCTTATAAGCTGTTACTACATAACTTATCTTACTGTAACTCTTTTATTTCCCGACATTGTAATTTGTTTGTGATGTATATTGTGAGATTGTATTCTATGTTAATTTAATCAGCATAATTCACTGACATGCTGGACTGACATGCTGGCTGCTGTTTCAAAGTGTAAAGTTTGTGTAGGGCTGTTGGGACGACTACAACTCCATTGTCAAGGTACTGTGCTTTGGTTCCTATAGCAACACTGTGGGTGTGGCCCTTCAGACTCTAGGGACATTTAATACACCCTCAAGCAAATTTTAACTGCAGATTTTCTTTGTAGAAATTCTATGTATAACCGCAGGTACCTACTTGGCCCATGGCTGGTAACTATTTGGGCAATTAGAAAAAAAAAGTAAAAAACTAGTGTCTATTGCTGCTTTGAATATGTTTGAAAGTCTGAAAAATGTAAATAGTTTATCAAAAAAAATCTTGTACAGTCCAGTGTAAAGTTTTTAAATGACCTTAAGGGTTGCCATCACATCTTTCTCATACTCTCCTCTTGGTAATGAAAAAAAAAGTTGGCTAAGGATTCAAGAAGTGGAAAAAGAGAATTGCTTCAAATTTAAAGGAATGGATCATTGTTCTTAGCTTGGTTGCATACACAAACCTCTTGGATTTTGTTGTGCAGTATTGACGTGAGATAAAACAGCATTGAATAATCTTTCAGTGGGACTTTCCAAGTCTTCCCCTCCTCTGCCTCATAATTAAGGGAAAAGACAAAATCGAAAGACACACTGTCTTTGTCTCTCCTGGTGTATGTTGGCACCTTAGCTACTTTTTTTTTTCCTTTTTGCACAAGGTGCTTTCCTGATATGTTAGACATGCCATCGTTGGGTGATAATGTATATGCCATGATGGGGCGCAGGCCCACAGGGGAGTGTCTATAAGAACTGCCTATTTATGCTCATTTACCTCAAGACTGTCCTCTCTTACCCTAATCTAGTTGTCATCACTCCATCTTTTGTACTGCTGTTGACACTTACCAATTAAAGATAAATTTTGTTTTATGACCTCTGTGTTCAGCCTGGTCTGTGCCCTGCGAACTCTTCTCCCCTCATGGAGCCCAGCAAGCCTGGGTTGGCCTCTGCCTGCCGAGGGAGCCCACAGAGCTCCCAGCTCCCTGGCATGGCTCCTGCCTGCTAGAGAGAGGGCTCTGGGTGTCCTGAAGCACGCAGTCCGGAATGATGCTTCATTGTGGTGCAAATGCTGCGCAGCAGGAAATACGTGTGGATTTAGATGGCAGGAACTGGAGCCGAGGTGAATTTCTATCAAGAATTGGGAGAGGATGGCACTGCCTATTTGCCTGACTTCTTTATGGAAGCAAGACAGTTTATAGAAGCGCGGAGCATCTCTGGCTGGGATTCCTCTGTGTGTATCTCCAGGGCTAGCCTGTCACCTGACCCAGACTTCTGCAAGCCTGAAGGCTACAGATGATAATGTGCACCTGCAGTAAAACTCAGAGCTCAGTGACTGTGCTTCTAAGGTGTTTCCAAAGCTGCCTCCTGTGCTCAAAAGTCTGAGGGCGGCAGTGGGGTAGTGGGCTGAAGACAGCCGGGTCCTTAAGACCAGCAGAAACAGCCGTGCCAGCACTGCAGATGGCCCAGTAGCAGTCAGTTGCCACCTGTAGAGGGAAACAGAACTGCTGGGGTGGAGTTAGGAGCTGGCAGAGTCTTCTTTTGATTTTTTTTTTTTGTGTGTGTGAAAAAAAAGACCTCAGAGAAAAACAGGGATTCATAGAACTGTACTCAAAGCAGATTGTAAGTTTCACAGGAGCTGCTCTCAGTTTTGAAAGCCCAAGACGATGGTGCTCCAGGTGAGCACAGAGCCTTAAGGAACAGTGGACTTGGGAGTCACTTTGGCTTGGATCTGTCACTGACCAGTGAGCCATGAGACTTTCCAGAATAACCCTGTGAACCAGACTGCTTTCCCTGGTGAGATGGGACAGTAACCCCTCCCTGTCAGCATTAGGAGATGACAAGTGACAGCAGGTGTAAAACACACAGCAACAGTCCTGTCCATCATTTCGCCTGGAATAAATCTGTCCCCTCTGTGGGACAGTCCCACTTGCCTTTTCAATACCACCCAAATGTCCCCCCTTTCTGAGGCCATCTGCAGCCACCAGTTTCCAGCTCTCCCCTAGGGTACCCAGGTACTTGGAGAGGAACTCTGCGGTCAGGTTCTCTACACTGGAATGATTCTTTTCTGTCTTTTCTGCTAGATGAGAAGCTACTGAAAACAAGGGCTGTGCCTCACTCCTCCCAGCTCCCAGCATGCTGTCTGGCTCATAGTAAGTGCTCCCTGTTGGGTTGTGGACGATAATGAACCAGGGCACCTTGGCCACCCCGATGGTATAGGCGCCTGTGAGTATTGGTCCCCAGATGGAGGGCATGAGGGGGCCTGCACAGTAGCTTGGCATGACTTCCTCTGGAAAACATTTTTAGTTGTAACATCTCTGTTCACACTATGAGAGTCATTTCAAGCTAGTGTGGAGGGATGAGGGCCCCAAGAAGCTATGCTTTTAGGGAGATTCACACCCCTAGATACCACATCTCAGAGCCTAGAGCCCTTCTTCTTCCTTCTTCCTAGGCATCCTAACTAGCATCCGGAATGGACAGATCCAAAATAGAAAGTTTTTCTGGATTTGCTTTACTCTTTTCTTGACATCCCAGGTACCCAAAAGCATCCTTTGCTCTGCCATAGGCAAAGGGTACAAGGAGGCTTCCACCAAGGAAAAGGAGGGAAGCCCTCTGCCTCTGCTGTGCAGCGAAGGAGTGTAGGGTCCCAGGAGGCTGCACCTGGGGTGCCGTTCACTCAGAATCCTCTCCCTCTGCAATTCACTCAGAACGTTCTCCCTCCTGTTTGGCAAAGACACTGTTCAGGTAATGACCTTTCCCTTCATGGAGGTGCTTTTGAGCCCTGCTTGTTCAAAGAGTGATTGGCAGGTCGGTGTCACTGGAGACCGCTTAAAGCATTACGTTGGCCATGTGAATGTTGAACCTTAGGACATGAGACCACCCACCTCCTCTACTTCCTCTTAGTGTGGCATGGAATGGGTAGGTTAAGGATCATTGTCCTCATTTGAATTGTGAAGACAGAGAATTGGGATATGGCTCATGCAAAGTCACACAGATATTAATTGGCAGTGCCTGGATGCACACTTCTGTCTTTTAATTCCAAAAGCATAATTGACTGCTGCATATGGCCCCATGGTAGTCCCTGGAAATTACACATCAGCAGGGCAGCCCCAGATCTGCATCTTCATTGTCACCAGTTGTCCTGGGCTGTGTCCCTGTGGGACCCCTTAGGCATCTGGGGCAGTGGCCTCTGACAGCACAGGCACTGCCATCCTTGCTCAGGTTCTGCTCAGGGCCTGTCCCTGACTGAGGGCCCAGCTAGACTCTGGTCAGTAGAAATCAGAAGTGCCTCTGTCAGGGGACTACTTGGCCCTTTTGCCCTTTGGGGCTCTAGCCTGAATGGTCACTGAGCAGATCAGTAAGGAGATGTGTGGATTCTGAGGCCCATTCTTGTGTCAGCAAGTGGGAGACCCATAAAGGGACACATCACAAATGGTGTCTAAGCTAAATTCACCCTGGCATGAGGGCGGGGGCACCCTGTGGATTGGTCATCCACCTGGCCTCACAGATGCCTCTGTTGACACAAAGGATGGCAAGGTCAGTGGCTGGCCCTCTCTTGGAGCCTCTTGACACTTGCCCTCCCACTCCCGGAAGAATCTTCCTTTCACAGACCTAGACAAGGTGTCCAAGACCATATCTGATCTTGTGCCACTTGTCTGGCTCCTTGTGCCACTTGTGTCAAATCTGACTGAGTCTTTTGTGGCATCCATATCCTTCACCAACAATCCTGGCACATAGAAGGTGCTTACAAGAGTATTTAAAAGAAAACCTCCAGACTGAAAGAACAAACACTTTCTCCTAGAATTCTAAGCACTCTGAACCCTCTATTGGCTTTTAGTCATCTTGGAACCTCAAGGCCCTTTTAGACACATGAGGCTGTCTGGAACTGGTTTGCCTACTTCCAGGCCTTCAGTCAACCCCTGGCCCTTGTCCAAATGGTCCCACCCCTCTGTCTGCTCCTTACCATCCTTTCTTTTTTCTTATTTTTTCCAGAACTGGGAATTGAACTCAGGCCCTTGCTCTTGCCAGGCAGGTGCTTATTCTACTGAGCTATCTCCCTGGCCCACCTTTTTCTTTCTTTCTTTCTTTCTTTCTTTCTTTCTTTCTTTCTTTTCTCTCTCTCTCTCTCTCTCTCTCTCTCTCTCTCTCTCTCTCTCTCTCTCTTTCTTTCTTCTTTCTCTTTCTTTTTTTTTGTGCAAAGTCTCACTACACAGCCCAGACTCATAGTGATCCTCCTGATTTCTGCCTTCCTAGTGCTGGGATCACAGGCGCACACCATCATGCCCAGACCCCATCGCAGGCTCAGTGTACCAAAGGGTGGGGCCACTGTGGCATGCAGAGCCAGGGACCTAACCCTGGCCCCTATGCTTACCTAAGCAAGCGTTTAGTCTGGTGAGCTATACTACTGGCCCTTCATCCTTCCTTTCTTTTATTTATTTATTTTTTGCGGAACCAGGGATTGAATTCAGACCCTTGCACTTGCTAGGGAAGCACTTATTCCACTGAGCCATCTCCCCGGCCCCCATCCATTCTTTAAAGACCAACTCAAAGTCCATCTCCTTCAAATGCCACCACAAAAAGAACATTTTATTTAACCATTCACAATATCCTGGGCAATACTCAGAGTAACAACATTCAGAATAATATTCTGAATTATTATTCATGTTTTACTAAAGATGAAAGCAAATTTCATTGAAGTTGAGCCCTTTTTCCAGGGTCAGTGCCCTGTTCAGAATATGAGCTTTTGCTTGGGCAGGTTGTATTCAGACTTCTGCAGTTCCAAATGATCCTCTTCTTCCATCTAGTTCAGAGTTGCCTTGTTGATACCACCCAAGAAAACTTTAGACATTTTGCCCACACATGTGCTGGATTTCCAATGAAATTTCAGAGCCATAGATTTTCTATCTTTCTGCTCATATATTCTACATTTATCTGTGCTTACTCATTAAAACGATGAGATTTCTCCTTGCCTAAGAGCGAATTTTAGCCTTCTGTGGGGATGCAGTCATGTGCTGAGAGGGTGTGACCCACGTTGAGTCATTTTGGGACCTGGTCTTCACCCTAGAGTTGGTAACTGGTTGTCTTCACTGTGAGTTTTGTGCTCCAAGTCCCAGGGCATAATGACAGTTTCCCCAAGACAATTATTATCCACAGCACAAACTCTGTGGGCTCCTAAGTTCAAACAGGGCACAGCAAGAGCTTCTCGCTCTCTGCTCCT